ATTAGATATATTTACTATGGTAAAGATCGTTCTATTCTACTTTTAAATTTTACCGCGTTCCGTGGTAGTTATTAAAAGACATGCCTTCGTATTTGAAAGAACTACGAAGGTTATAATTTGTTTTCTTATTTAATAAATAAAAAATTAAGTGTTGCTCGTATTGTGTTAAAAGATTGGAATATACGTGACAGAAAGATGCAATGTACAAGGATGTTACGTCTTGGCAAGGTACGTTGCTGTTTAAAGTTAATACATTTTAATGTAACCTATAAAGTGATTTCTTTATTTTGTACATTACGTTAAATTACATTTAATAAATTCATATTTTTCTTTCCTTATGATACATGATATTTACAAACATTTGTGGTAGATGATACCATTAGCTACCGTGCAACATATCACAGGATACAATTTTAGTAGCATAAATTCTATAATGAAACCTCGTGTTCGGCAATTTTGTAAAAATGTATCCATAAAGAATGCACTTAAGAATGTGGGTCAACCAAGAACTCAAAATACAGGAATGTTGCAGAGGGTTTCACACAGGTTTACTCTTTTTAAGATGAAGTATGTAAGTATACATTAAATGGTTTTACTTATTTCATGTATTTATGGAAACTAATCATTTATATTTGACTATACATTAGCAACTAATTGGATTGGGTTATCAGTTGTATGACAATATCCCTGATAAGCTTGACTACTCAATATTTTTTAAAGGTATGATAGAAAATTGAAATAGATCCTGCAAGAATAATTTATTTGCTTATGTCTATCTCATTCCTAACTTGCTATTATTTGGATTTCTCAGATTTTGCTATGAACGATACATTTTTCTCTTGGTTCAAAGTAACAGAACTACATGTTTGGATGTTGATGGTACGCTTTATGGCTGAAGGAGATAAGGGTAAAGTAGTTGTACAAAATATTGTTGAATCAATGTGGCACGATGTTATTATAAGAGCAGAAAAGCTTGGTGTAAGTAATTAGTCATTTATTTACGAGTCAAAGGTAAGCGAGAAAAAAGTATAAAACATCTACTTTAATTAGCCAATTCCATCAAAAATAAGAAATAAACAGATAATGGAATTATCACATCAGTTTAATGCTGCTATCATTGATTATGACGAAGGGATCTTGTCAGATGACAAAACATTAGCTAGTGCACTATGGAGGACATTCTTTAATTTAGAATGTAACAATCCAGAGCAATTAGAGAAGCTCTTAATCTACGTTAGGAAACAGGTAATGAAGGATCTTATTTATCTTTTACAGTATCATACAATAATTTTATTATTTTCTTTTCAGATTAGTATATTAGACAAAATTCCATCAGATAAGCTTTATCGCACACCAGTAATAAAATGGTTAGATTTGCGAACCATTGAAACTCATTAATGTTAGCAATAAATTTGTAATTGTTAATTAAGTAGAATTTATATGACGAATACATGAAGCCTGCGAACTAAAATTGCATTATTCATTTCAATTATAGTGAGCTCTATTTATTTTATTTTTATAACTATTTTAATCCTCTATAAAACAGATCTGACTAAACGTATTACCATTATCTTCGCACGCACTGTTTTCTGGTGTTATAGCTCACAAAGACCTGGTCCAGGAAGTATTAATAGCCTGGCCGATCACAGATGCTAATGCCCATCCCAACCACAGCTCACCGATGTGAGCTACGTTTTTCATAATGTTAGACGGCTCAATTCCTACAATTGCACGATGTAGGAGCTCTCGTTTACAATTGACATCACAACTTGCTACCAATGAAGGTTGTGCTAGTTTATAAAAATTCCTGTAATCAAAAATAAATTACGCTCGTTTAATATTCCGAATGATTTTCAATCTCGTAAATGCAAATATTTAAATTTTTTTTACCTGTAATATTTATCCAATAATGTATCATTTCTTAGTGTCTCATATAGCCAATTATTTAAAGAGTTGGCAGATAGATCTGGAAGATTATATTCTTTCTTAAAAGAATATGATACGTACCAGGCTGGTGTCGTATCGTTATGTTTATTAGCAGAACCAAGATCATACATCCAATTTTCGTAATCAGTTACAGCCTGTAAAAAGTATTCATTTTACTTTATATAAACTAAACTTCTCTAAATTAAACTTTCTACAAGAACACAACTTACGTAATTACTAGAATTCACTGTATAAACTTTATAATTCGGGTTCAGTTTTGTATAAGTTGTTACGCTACCACCGTTCCAAGCAACATTTATCACTTTAGAATCGGAATTATAAAATATTGCTATTTCATCATTATGAGTATGCCCATTGAATTCGGCTTTAATTATATGGGTGAATCTATTGATTATTCTTAAGTATTCTCGTCTCCATGTACTTAAACAGCTGTTGCTATTAGCAGGTATATGGGATAAAATATGTACGAATTCATTATTTTTCTCAGCGTCAGAAAGGACATTCACCAGCCATTGTAATTGATCATCGGGATCCCTTGGAGTATACCAAAGCCACCTAAATTGACATATTATCGAGTATTGTTCTCTGCTTTTTTGTGTAATTATAAAAACTCTTCACATACCAATTGTAGGAATAACAGACGTTACTGTTTAAAGCGATAACTCTGAATCCTTTTCTAGGTGTAACAGTATAATATCCTCCTTTCAATATTGTAGGACGTGTAGATTCTGGTAACCACTTATAAGCGATCCATAGATCTGCTAATAATTCGTACACCCAATTTGTAGTTAAATTCTCTTGTGTTATGTTTTGAGGCGCGAATCTATAAACAATTGAAAACCAATAATCATCAAGTTAATTGAAAAATTGTTGATGTAAATCGTAAATGAAAAAGATTTCGGTAGACTCACTGATTTAGAGGATTTGGTTCATGATTTCCAAATATAGGATATACTGCTGTATCATTAAAGACGTCATGAATTTCATTATAAATTTTTCGAAGACTTTGTATATTTCCTTCTTTGCTGGTTTCCCACACACCATGATCTATTATATCTCCGGTAAAATAAACAAAATCGATATCCTAAAAATTAGATTAGATTCTTATACGAAAGCATCGAACCAAAATACTTAAAAAAAAAACTGATAACACTGTGTAATGATAACACTAAAATCATTATGGTAATTGAGCCGTTCAGTACACACATCGATTAACTCCACTTTTTGAAAAATCTTAAATTTATGTGCTGTTACAGTTATGACTATACCAAGTGCGTTGACACATAAATTTAAGATTTTTCAAAAAGTGGAGTTAACCGATGTGCGCTCTGAACGGCTCAATTAAATTATTTTTTAATAGCGTTATATAAAATGATAATGTACTTGATGCGTCACTTTCGCGTGATTTATAACATCAACGATTGCGTGCCACGGGGTGTCACAGGAATCATAGTCTCCCCAGAAGCCAGCCGCTGATGTCACATCCGTCTTATTTTGACCCTTTCGACAGCAAACTGGTTCCCCACATTTCGTGTTACCATCCGGCTCGTAGAGTGGGTCGTAATGAATATCCGATAATTGCAAAACTTTTATTTGTTCTTGCGTGTTGTTTTCAATAATCGTTGTATGAGTATTATTAGTAATATCAATGCTCCATTCAAATTCAGTATCATTCAACGGGCAGGATTTCGATTCTAGGACAACACCGCACATCGTGCTTGCTTCCAAATTTGGTCTAGAATCTACTATGTAGAGAATAATGGGCTACGAAGTTTTAATAAATAGTTGTTACTTGCATGTTAAGTTTTGAAATACTTCGAGAGATTCTGTTAAACGGATTACCAAGTTCAAATCGACGACTCCTCTGCAAACTTCTTCTTTTTGAATGTTTAAAAGTACGCATAATTTAATTACATTATTTCTTATATTCTCTTCAGATTCTCCTTTACGTCGTAAATCTATAAACGCTTTTAGAGTTCCTGTACAGATTGTACATATTGGAATATACAGTCCTGCTGCAAGTGTTTTGAAGTCGCTGTTCTGAAGTTCCGTTGGAAATTTCAAATTTTGGATTATGTCCATAAACAATTCCGATGTCTGACTGGAATTTGCCCATAACATAATTTCCTCCGCAAACGAGGACACATCTACATCTGTTAATAAATTAATAATTTGCACTTTTATCTTGCTGATTTTATGGAAAGACATAATGTAGTTTCAGCCATAATCATAATATAAAAACAATGTTAGTAATGAATTTATAATTCGACGGTTTATAATGTATTTCAAATTTTGACTTACCTGTTGTACTATTCGTCGTACGTCTCCATGTACTTAAACAGCTGTTGCTATTAGCAGGTATATGGGATAAAATATGTACGAATTCATTATTTTTCTCAGCGTCAGAAAGGACATTCACCAGCCATTGTAATTGATCATCGGGATCCCTTGGAGTATACCAAAGCCACCTAAATTGACATATTATCGAGTATTGTTCTCTGCTTTTTTGTGTAATTATAAAAACTCTTCACATACCAATTGTAGGAATAACAGACGTTACTGTTTAAAGCGATAACTCTGAATCCTTTTCTAGGTGTAACAGTATAATATCCTCCTTTCAATATTGTAGGACGTGTAGATTCTGGTAACCACTTATAAGCGATCCATAGATCTGCTAATAATTCGTACACCCAATTTGTAGTTAAATTCTCTTGTGTTATGTTTTGAGGCGCGAATCTATAAACAATTGAAAACCAATAATCATCAAGTTAATTGAAAAATTGTTGATGTAAATCGTAAATGAAAAAGATTTCGGTAGACTCACTGATTTAGAGGATTTGGTTCATGATTTCCAAATATAGGATATACTGCTGTATCATTAAAGACGTCATGAATTTCATTATAAATTTTTCGAAGACTTTGTATATTTCCTTCTTTGCTGGTTTCCCACACACCATGATCTATTATATCTCCGGTAAAATAAACAAAATCGATATCCTAAAAATTAGATTAGATTCTTATACGAAAGCATCGAACCAAAATACTTAAAAAAAAAACTGATAACACTGTGTAATGATAACACTAAAATCATTATGGTAATTGAGCCGTTCAGTACACACATCGATTAACTCCACTTTTTGAAAAATCTTAAATTTATGTGCTGTTACAGTTATGACTATACCAAGTGCGTTGACACATAAATTTAAGATTTTTCAAAAAGTGGAGTTAACCGATGTGCGCTCTGAACGGCTCAATTAAATTATTTTTTAATAGCGTTATATAAAATGATAATGTACTTGATGCGTCACTTTCGCGTGATTTATAACATCAACGATTGCGTGCCACGGGGTGTCACAGGAATCATAGTCTCCCCAGAAGCCAGCCGCTGATGTCACATCCGTCTTATTTTGACCCTTTCGACAGCAAACTGGTTCCCCACATTTCGTGTTACCATCCGGCTCGTAGAGTGGGTCGTAATGAATATCCGATAATTGCAAAACTTTTATTTGTTCTTGCGTGTTGTTTTCAATAATCGTTGTATGAGTATTATTAGTAATATCAATGCTCCATTCAAATTCAGTATCATTCAACGGGCAGGATTTCGATTCTAGGACAACACCGCACATCGTGCTTGCTTCCAAATTTGGTCTAGAATCTACTATGTAGAGAATAATGGGCTACGAAGTTTTAATAAATAGTTGTTACTTGCATGTTAAGTTTTGAAATACTTCGAGAGATTCTGTTAAACGGATTACCAAGTTCAAATCGACGACTCCTCTGCAAACTTCTTCTTTTTGAATGTTTAAAAGTACGCATAATTTAATTACATTATTTCTTATATTCTCTTCAGATTCTCCTTTACGTCGTAAATCTATAAACGCTTTTAGAGTTCCTGTACAGATTGTACATATTGGAATATACAGTCCTGCTGCAAGTGTTTTGAAGTCGCTGTTCTGAAGTTCCGTTGGAAATTTCAAATTTTGGATTATGTCCATAAACAATTCCGATGTCTGACTGGAATTTGCCCATAACATAATTTCCTCCGCAAACGAGGACACATCTACATCTGTTAATAAATTAATAATTTGCACTTTTATCTTGCTGATTTTATGGAAAGACATAATGTAGTTTCAGCCATAATCATAATATAAAAACAATGTTAGTAATGAATTTATAATTCGACGGTTTATAATGTATTTCAAATTTTGACTTACCTGTTGTACTATTCGTCGTAAGACAATTAACACTTAAAAATAGTGCACTAAAGATTAAAGTATTGTACCACATTTTGCTGTTCATTACTCGTGTTCGACTGCTCGAAAACTGCGTGAAATTGATTTATTTCCTAAGGTCTTCATTTTAATTTATCTCGTTCAAAGTTATTTACTGATAACGTGTCGCAACCTTCTTCAGTTGATCGCTTCTCACACATCGTACATCATATACTAATCTGAACATCTGCTACACCAAATTCTTGGACACACTACTAAGAAGAATATCCATTATTAAACCAATATTCCTCCGCTTTATAACGAATATATAAAAAATCAACTGCATTGGCCATTATTATACACTCTTATACATATTCAATATTATAATAAAGTCTATAATTAAAACACAACGATTGCAGTTTAAATAAGTCGTATAAGCATGATAATATTCCTAGTTAATAAATTTGTTATTTTGCTAAGAACCACAAATAGAAAAAACCTATAATATTTATCACGAAATTGAACAATCTAAATTACTACTTTTTTCCACATTGTATCATTACACATTATCTAGTTCTGTTCATATAAAAATAACTGTTTTCTATGAACAGTATTTATGAACAAACTTATAAATTTAAAGATTTATCTTTATACTACTATTGTTCAGATTTTATAATTAAGAGATCATAAAGAGATATCCTCATTTATCTTGTTTGTATTTCGATATGCACTTGTTGCGACATGTAGACGAGCGATGCTTTGATAAAGAGATACGTAACTAATTCTAGTATTAAACAGATAATAATTAATTTGTCATCATATCAAAGTAGTTATATTGCACTAAAATTTAGAAAGAACTAAAAGGAAATATAGTAATTAGAATTTTTTCATTACATTCAATTATCTTGTATTTTTATACGAACAATGTATTACAAAACTTGAGGTACTTGTACATCATCAATGACGAGATCGTCAAGCATTTCTTCAAGAGTGATTTGCGGACAACTTGGATCAGAAAGTTCATTAGTATCTACTGGAATTACTTTTCTACTGTCTCTGAAAATATTAATGTTTTGTCTCATTTCCGGATTTTCTTCAAGGTCCTCCAAAAATTCGTAATAGTCGCTAAAATAAAGAGCAACGGAATTAGAGACTTCTCTTCATCACTTAATTTCTCCACTTTCAAGAAAACTGATATTCGAAAAGAGTATCTTACTTATTTTCTGTGACCATGCTTTCCTTATCTTCTAACATGTGTTTCAACTTCCAAGCACGCATTCTGCGTCGCGCTACTACGTCGTGCGCATAACTTTTCTTTGTTAGGATCACATCTGGTACGAGATCTTTGTTCAGTGTTTCGAAATTGTCGTCGTTGATATTGCTCTCGCTTAGAGCATACCTGCGATGAAATGTAATCGTTTACTTGTGTGTGTGTGTGTATTTCGTTTTTGCTATGATTTCAATATAACAATTTTTTTTACCCCAATGCAGTATCACCAGGTTTTAACACGTGGCCAAGATGAGTGCGGGTGTGGATCAAGTTATCATTTATTCCCAAATCACAACTTCGAACCAACCACACGTCCGCTATTACATGCTAGAAATAAATTAATTATAGTAAATATAATAAAATTATATCCTGGCTTTATCTAAGGAGCAGTATTTACTTTTTCTGAAATGGTTCCTTGCCCAGGAAAAAATCTCCTATCCTTGGATTTAATCGGTTCAATATCCATTACTGTGTATTCTACCAGCTGTTTTGGATCACAGATGCTATTAAAAGCATGTCGCCAATAAAATCATAAAGAGATATCCTCATTTATCTTGTTTGTATTTCGATATGCACTTGTTGCGACATGTAGACGAGCGATGCTTTGATAAAGAGATACGTAACTAATTCTAGTATTAAACAGATAATAATTAATTTGTCATCATATCAAAGTAGTTATATTGCACTAAAATTTAGAAAGAACTAAAAGGAAATATAGTAATTAGAATTTTTTCATTACATTCAATTATCTTGTATTTTTATACGAACAATGTATTACAAAACTTGAGGTACTTGTACATCATCAATGACGAGATCGTCAAGCATTTCTTCAAGAGTGATTTGCGGACAACTTGGATCAGAAAGTTCATTAGTATCTACTGGAATTACTTTTCTACTGTCTCTGAAAATATTAATGTTTTGTCTCATTTCCGGATTTTCTTCAAGGTCCTCCAAAAATTCGTAATAGTCGCTAAAATAAAGAGCAACGGAATTAGAGACTTCTCTTCATCACTTAATTTCTCCACTTTCAAGAAAACTGATATTCGAAAAGAGTATCTTACTTATTTTCTGTGACCATGCTTTCCTTATCTTCTAACATGTGTTTCAACTTCCAAGCACGCATTCTGCGTCGCGCTACTACGTCGTGCGCATAACTTTTCTTTGTTAGGATCACATCTGGTACGAGATCTTTGTTCAGTGTTTCGAAATTGTCGTCGTTGATATTGCTCTCGCTTAGAGCATACCTGCGATGAAATGTAATCGTTTACTTGTGTGTGTGTGTGTATTTCGTTTTTGCTATGATTTCAATATAACAATTTTTTTTACCCCAATGCAGTATCACCAGGTTTTAACACGTGGCCAAGATGAGTGCGGGTGTGGATCAAGTTATCATTTATTCCCAAATCACAACTTCGAACCAACCACACGTCCGCTATTACATGCTAGAAATAAATTAATTATAGTAAATATAATAAAATTATATCCTGGCTTTATCTAAGGAGCAGTATTTACTTTTTCTGAAATGGTTCCTTGCCCAGGAAAAAATCTCCTATCCTTGGATTTAATCGGTTCAATATCCATTACTGTGTATTCTACCAGCTGTTTTGGATCACAGATGCTATTAAAAGCATGTCGCCAATAAACAGTAGCATTAAATTCTGCGACTAAACGTATATGAATTTGTAAAATAAGTAGCAAATTAAAGATCGGATAATAAAATTTAAAAGAAGTTCACATACTTTGTCCACTTGCTACATCTATTAAATGTACAGAATTTGTAATTTTGTACACTAAACAAATAGGATTTATTCCTCCTAATTGATGACTCAGTTTCCTTGGGAGGCATACCACACTATCCCTCGATATCGGTACAATTTCCACGCTGTATGTAAATTTATAATTGTAGATATTGCTATGAATATCATGTGATAACAATTTTTTAGAATGATCGTAACGGCAAGGAATCACGCTTGAAAGAAAGTCGACCAGCTTTCGAGCGGTTGCTTCATTTGCAAAAAAGAAATCTAAACCCTCTGTAAAGATAATAAACCAATATAGATCATGAATACCTGAATATTGTAAATAATATTGAATAATTGAGATTCATTACCATGAACAGGTTTTATGCCTAAAGTTTGTTCATGTGCTTTGTATTTTAGGATTAGTTGCTCTAGATAATAAAACGTTTTCTTGTTTGTAGCCTTTTGCCGTACTTGTACCTGTAAGTCCAGATTACAATTATGAAAATAGATTATATTTATAATATGAGAGAGTTCTTATAAGTTTAAGTTATACCAAGGCACGCCAGTAATCTTTTGCTTCTATTCTATGGCAATCATCACACATCTGATGGTTTACTATGTATTCAACTATGAATACTTGTTGCAAGACTGCACCACCCATTACTTCAGCTTGCACTGTCAATTTTACCTAAAAATGTGACATAAATGAAAATATTTTCATAAGAAAATTATTTGATTAGCAAAGTACCTTTAGTCTCATAGAGTGTGGCTCTGTCCAAACGAATCCTGCATCAATTAATTTCACTCTGTTTAAACTTTTCAATTTTTTCAAGCATAACGTTAACAATTCTCTGGATTCCAATGCTGCATGAATCCACTCTGCAGGTGGTTGCAAATATCTAAACAAAACACAGATGCCTCGATTTTTATAAGCGAAGAGAAAAATGATAAAGTAGAATTGAACGATCGATTAGATCCTTATTTCAGCACAAACTGCTTTATTACCTTTCGCAGCTTCTGCAAAACTGAATTGTGGCTTGTTTTGGAATATTTTCAGTAACGTCAACTTGTGTGCGCAAACATGCAACACACATATTTGTTGGATTCGGTTCAATGCTAACACCGCACATACAACATAATCTGTGAAGGAAACCGTAAATCATAAATTGTAAGATTAAAATTACTTATTTTGTAGTTTTTAATATGCTGAAATTGACGTCGAGATCACGTTTACGTACATCATTGCCTCTTGACGAACAGGTTCAGTTAACGTCTCCATCGTTTATAATGTTCTCTCGTCTTCAATATTTTAGAAATATCTCAGCTCACTTGAATAAAGTTAGAAATGTGTGATAAATAATGCAAATATCATTTAATTCTGACTTCTGACCACGTGTAAATGTAAATTATTAAACTTCAGACTTGAGGTACAATCGTCTCTTGAAATTCTGAAGGGAAAAGTTTAAAATCATATATGTATTAGTGGCTCGCACGCGTATATGACATATGTATATATATACATACTGGATATGGATTTGTATGAATCGAAATATCCAAGACTGATATCGGCTAACTTCACAAATGTTGCTTACGTTCATCACGACATGAACTCAAAGATGCCAGATTGAGGACGGAAGCACAATCAGCACAGTATACTGTGACGGGAGCCACCGAAAATCAGCCCCTCCACTTACGCACATTATTGCATTGTATCCGTGTGCTTTGAGTTCGGCTTAACTTCGACTCAATAGAGAGAGAAGGCGAAACATCAAGAGCCCGTGATCAAGAGCAAAAGCGACTTCTCTCTCTACTGAGTCGAAGTTGAGCTGAGCTCGGAGCACACGGATACGATGCAATAGTGTACGTAAGTGGAGGGGCTGATTCTCGGTGGCTTCCGTCCTTAATCTGGCATCTTTGCATGAGTACAGTATAATTTTTGTACTGATACTGTGAGTCTCGAAATTTGTCTCGAACTGATTTCCACTTAACATGGGAGATTATAAATAACAAAGTGCAAAAATACCATTTACTAATTGAATTTTCATTGCAATATTCTGCATAAGTTGAAAAGATGTCTCGACATCGCGATGTGAGATGTATGAACTATTCGGACGGTGAGTAATTCACTTTTGGCACATCGATCACGTATATTTTACGTTGTAACATAACATATTTTTCCAGAATACGAAGGTTATGACGATGTTTATGGACATTCTGTGGAGGACGATTATTGTGTATCTCCTAGTGGTAATTTTAATACTATAGAATGCGTAATTGACATGAAGAATTTTGTGTAAATCTTTTGATTATTGTAATTATAGCTGAACAATTTCTGTTTGATCGGAGCAAACAGCAAAATATTGCATCGTTTATAACAGAGCCAGATATAATAGAAGATAATGAAGATAACGAAGAATCTGTAATATCGTCTAATGAAGAAGATGTGGTGCTTACAGAAATTGAAAGAGCTAAGCTTATGTCATGTATGGAAGTTATGAAAAATGTTATTGGAGATACAGTGCTTGAGTCTGAAATTAAGAAGAAAATTATTCAGGCAAATTTTGATGCCGAAGTGGCACTTGATTCAATTTTAAGAGAATCATCTCCAAAAACTGGTACTGGTATATGTATTATGCACTTCTAGTTTTGTGAAACATCTATTTCAAACATATTATTCACTTTAGGACCATCTACAGCTGACAAGAATAATTTGGAGCCTCATCCAGGTATGTCATTTATTAATGTAATCTATTTAATGATAGAAAGTTTGATATTTTATAGTGAATTTTGTATACTAATTAGTATCTATTTCTTGACCTATAATTTCTTCTGTTTCATGTGCTGCTTTTGATCCATCGGTAAGGTAAGATGCTGCATCTATTTCATTTATGATACCAAAATTGTCATTTAACAAACAAAACGACACTGAAAGTACTAACACGAATGCATGTCTTGTAAATAATTCTGAAAGTTTGGCAAATTTAAGTATTGGTAACTCTCCCATGAGATTTCCTTCTTTATCAGGATTTATAACTAGTCCTGTTAATAGCACATTGCCAAATTTGAGAAGTGATCCATTGAAAAATATTTCGGGCGCAGGAGCTTTTAAATCTTTAGCTGATTTAACGGCTCATCATTTACAAAAATCTGGCAATTGCATTAACAGTACGAATTCTAACGAGAAAACAGTTTTGCCGAAAACAAATTTCGTGATACCGAAGTTATCGATTAAGAAAGATAATTGCAGTAATTTGAGCGACACACAGTTAGGCTTTTCTGTAACAGAACGAAGTGTCATATCTAACGTATTGAGTGATAGAAAGATTGATGGCTACATGGATTCACTTGAAAGAAGTTTGTCTAATGTGCTTGCTCTTACCGATCCAAATACCAAAAATAATTCGCAAAGCGTAGAATCTAAAGAGGATTCGATATTGAGCGGTATTCGTACACCGTCACCAGATCCTTGGATGATCGATCTGAGTACTGCTTTAAAAGAAGCAGCAGTCTTAGCTTCAAACGATTGTGGTCATGAAAAATCTAAAGCCTTAGTAAGCTTTAACAACGTCATTCCTAATTCAAATTTACACGATTCCGATAAAAGTCTTGAAAATCCATTCCTTATGCTTCCTACAACATTGAACCTAAGTTGTTTAAAGTATGCTAAACTGTCGCATACGAAAAAGAACGTTTCTTTGTTCGGTAGAACATTATGCAGAACATGGAAATTTAAAAAACCAAATCTCAAATCATCATCAAAGGATCAACATTATCAGACAGTGAAAAGATTTGATTTTTCAGTTCCATATAGTCGAACTTAATGATATATCATATAGTGTATAGATTGATCTAAGCGACAAAGTTTTTGGGGTATAAAACGTAATTAAACGAATGTTGGATATTCTTTTTAGAAATATAACATTGAATCATAAATTTCATAGGAAGTTATAAACATAGGCATATTAGAAATTCAATCAAATTAAACATAACATACGTGTAAGGTGACGTGATATATTTTTATTAAAAAACATCTACTCTTATTTATGTAATTATATTTACTGTGAATTACCATTATCATGTAAATATTGTGTTCGTAATATCAATAGCAATATTCGATCATTTTAAATGGGAAATGTACTTTTAATTTTTACGATTAATAATATACATTTACATGAAATTCTTTACATATTCTTTCTTTACGTTTAATGCCGAAATATAGGTAAAAAATTGTCGTCTAAACCCACGTTTCAAGTAACGACACCCTCCAACGTGAAAATTATTCCTGCCGGGAAGAGACCTGTCGTAAAAGGATTTAACGTGCATTCTGTTGAGAATACGGACGTATTGAATTCTCGTACACAGAGTCCTCGGTCTCAGAGTCCGTATTCAGATTACAATAGTCCAGAAATAAAGAGAAAGGAGACCATTGTATCGAAGGAGAAGAAAGCAGTTTCCTCGAGCACAAATAGCCCGCGAAGTCAGTCTCCGATATCAGGGCATCAGACGCCAGATATCGATCCTAAAATAAAACTCAACGAGGAGAGAATAGATGTTTCAAAGATTTACAAGGATAAGAGAGGAGATTGCAAGGAGCAATTAAACCTTGTCGTGGTTGGTCACGTGGATGCTGGTAAAAGTACTTTACTAGGACGACTTCTGTGCGATTTAGGGCAAGTCCCATCGAGACTTATTCATAAGTACCAGCAAGAAAGTAAAAAGATTGGAAAACAGTCGTTCGCTTACGCGTGGGTTCTGGACGAGACAGGTGAAGAACGGTGAGTAGTACGTCATAAGGGAGTTATATGTATTTTTGCTTTTAAATTAATTGTCTTTTTAATAGGGAACGTGGAATAACAATGGACATTGGTCATTCCAAATTCGAGACAGAAACAAAATCCATTACATTATTAGATGCACCTGGACACAAGGATTTCATACCCAATATGATTGCTGGTGCTACTCAAGCAGATGTAGCTTTATTAGTAGTGGATGCTACTAGAGGAGAATTTGAAACTGGTTTTGATAGCGGAGGTCAAACTAGGGAACATGCGTTATTACTACGTTCGCTNTACTCTTATTTATGTAATTATATTTACTGTGAATTACCATTATCATGTAAATATTGTGTTCGTAATATCAATAGCAATATTCGATCATTTTAAATGGGAAATGTACTTTTAATTTTTACGATTAATAATATACATTTACATGAAATTCTTTACATATTCTTTCTTTACGTTTAATGCCGAAATATAGGTAAAAAATTGTCGTCTAAACCCACGTTTCAAGTAACGACACCCTCCAACGTGAAAATTATTCCTGCCGGGAAGAGACCTGTCGTAAAAGGATTTAACGTGCATTCTGTTGAGAATACGGACGTATTGAATTCTCGTACACAGAGTCCTCGGTCTCAGAGTCCGTATTCAGATTACAATAGTCCAGAAATAAAGAGAAAGGAGACCATTGTATCGAAGGAGAAGAAAGCAGTTTCCTCGAGCACAAATAGCCCGCGAAGTCAGTCTCCGATATCAGGGCATCAGACGCCAGATATCGATCCTAAAATAAAACTCAACGAGGAGAGAATAGATGTTTCAAAGATTTACAAGGATAAGAGAGGAGATTGCAAGGAGCAATTAAACCTTGTCGTGGTTGGTCACGTGGATGCTGGTAAAAGTACTTTACTAGGACGACTTCTGTGCGATTTAGGGCAAGTCCCATCGAGACTTATTCATAAGTACCAGCAAGAAAGTAAAAAGATTGGAAAACAGTCGTTCGCTTACGCGTGGGTTCTGGACGAGACAGGTGAAGAACGGTGAGTAGTACGTCATAAGGGAGTTATATGTATTTTTGCTTTTAAATTAATTGTCTTTTTAATAGGGAACGTGGAATAACAATGGACATTGGTCATTCCAAATTCGAGACAGAAACAAAATCCATTACATTATTAGATGCACCTGGACACAAGGATTTCATACCCAATATGATTGCTGGTGCTACTCAAGCAGATGTAGCTTTATTAGTAGTGGATGCTACTAGAGGAGAATTTGAAACTGGTTTTGATAGCGGAGGTCAAACTAGGGAACATGCGTTATTACTACGTTCGCTAGGTACGCAAAGAAATGATTAAAAATAGATTTATTATAAAATGCTTAAAAAAATTTACTTTTTCAGGCGTCTCGCAGATAGCAGTAGTAATAAACAAACTAGACACAGTAGATTGGTCGAAAGAAAGATTCAATGAAATAATGGACAAAATGAGCGTGTTCTTGAAACAAGCTGGATTCAAGGATAGTGTTACATTTGTTCCTTGTAGCGGTTTGTCTGGTGAAAATATTGTAACGCAGCCTAAAGAGCCTTTATCTAATTGGTATATTCATTATTTGAACTATCTGTGTATATTACAAAAAAGTGGTGCAGATTATTATTTTATTGATTAATTCTGCAGGTATACAGGACCTACGTTAGTCAACGTTATTGATAACTTTAAATGCCCCGAACGTCCCATAAACAAACCATTTCGTTTTTCGGTTAATGATATATTTAAAGGCACAGGGTCCGGCTTTTGCGTTTCGGGTCACGTGGAAACAGGAATGGTATCTCTAGGTGATAAAATCTTAATCTTACCGAGAAATGAAACTGCCGTGGTTAAAGGTACGACAATGTCCTACAATTTTTTGATGTGCTTACGCGATGTTTCGACGGACACTAAAAAATAAATGTTCAGGTTTACAGGTGGACGAAGCATCTGTCACGAATGCATTTGCCGGTGATAATGTTTCTTTAATGTTACCGGGGATCGAGCAACAGAACGTTGGGATTGGAGATATTATTTGTAATCCTCAAAATCCAGTTCCTGTTACGACACGTTTTCAAGCACACATCGTCGTATTCACAGTAAAAATGCCTATCGTGAAAGGTCTTCCGGTAGTGATTCATCAACAATCGTTAGTTCAACCGGCTACCATTACGAAGCTAATATCGCAGCTTAACAGAACTACCGGTGAGACGATAAAAAAGAAACCGCGATGCTTACCAAAAAATTCAAGTGCTATTATTGAGATTATGACTCAAAATCCAATCTGTATGGAATTATATAAAGATAATAAACAATTGGGCAGAATTATGTTACGAGTAGAAGGAACTACTATTGCAGCTGGTCTGATTATGAAAATCAAGTAACGACAATTCGTTTATCTGTACGTAATCAGTTAAATAGTGGCAATTATAAATACTTGCGAAAGTATATAAAAATTGGCATCTCGATCATATTAATTTATGTCTAAATGCATTGATG